AAGTAAACAAAAGGTTAGTAGTTTTACAAATCTAAAATAAAAACATTGACTCTGTTAAATAATTACTCACATTACATGAAGAGTTGGTTCACAAAAGAAGAGCAAATAGTTCATGGCCTTTTGAAAAACTGCTCATACTATCTCTTATGATTAATTAGCTGGTGAAAAACTCATACCTCTGTGGAAAATAGTTTTACTGTATTTGTAATTCTTGTTTACATGCTGTTCCTCATAATTTTCTGTTAATTTTTAGATTACAGGTGGCTCTTATTATAAAATAGATCCATTTCATGCAGAGAGTCAGTATTGCTTAGTAAAAAAGAACATGGACTCATTTATGATGTTAAAAAGAAAGGGAAAGGAAACCTTAATAGCCTAAGACTCAAGAGAGATATCCTTAATATAATAAAGGGAGTCTACTAAAAACATGTAACAAATATTACTCTTCATGGTAAAATATTAGAGCAGTCTTTTTAAAATCAGTAACAAGACAAGTAACAAGATGCTCATTATCAGTGCTTCTATTCATTCATTAGTAACAAGATGCCCATTATCAGTGCTTCTATTCATTATTTTAGTAGCATTCCTAACCAGTCCTTTAAGACAAGAAAAATAAATGTTTAGTGATTAACAACAAAGACGCAAAAAGTCATTATTTGGAGATGATATGATTGTTAACATAAAAAATATGAAAAAATCAACAGGCATAAATTATAAGCATTCAGTAGGATGCTAGATCTGTATGATCAATATTTTTTAAAGTCAGTATATACCACAAACAAACAGAAAAGAGGCCACTTAAAATAGCAACTAATAGCAACAAGGTACCTAGAATTAAATCTATCCAAAGTTATTTCTTTTATGTAGGTTTTAAGACATAAAATTTGTATTATTTAAAGATGTTTGCTAGCATGCAATTATTGACAAGATATCAAAATGTTATTAAGAATATTTTCTTTATCATTTTTTGTAATGACTACACTTTATGCAATCAGCAAGTATAGTTTTTAATTTAAAAATGACTGTAGAGCAGGGGTTTACAATCTTATTTTATTTTATTTTATTATTTTTTTTTCCTTTTTGTCTTTTTTACTGACCGGTAATGGGATCGCAACCCTCGGTGTCGCGCCCGTACCGGGGACCGGCAACGGGATCGCAACCCTCCGTGCCGTGCCCGCACCGCGCTCAGCCAGTGAGCGGGAACCGGTCTCCACATGGGATCTGAACCCTCGGCAGGAGCGCCACCGCACTCCCAAGCGGCGCACTCTCTAGTGCGCCACCGGGCCAGCCCAACAATCTTATTTTTTAAAGGACCAGAGGTAGTAAATATTTTAGGCTTTGCCACACTGTTTGTGTTTTAACTATTCAACTCTGTTATTGTAGTGTGAAAACGTCCATAGACAATAAGTAAATGAATGGACTTGGATGTGTTCCAATAAAACTATATTTAACAAAATTGTAAAATGGTCAGATTTGGCCTGTGAGCCACAGTTTGCTGCCCTCTACTGAAGAATTAAAAAAAATTTTTTTTCTCTTACCAAATTAGAATAATAGAATAAAAATGAGTTTTGTTTTGTTTTATTTTTAAATTACGAACATACTGTATACTTTCTCCCTATCATCAGAAACAAGATGAGGATATCCACTCTCACCACTTCTATTTAATACCATGCAGTAGATTCTAACCAGGGAAAGTAGGCAAGAAAAAGAAATAAAAGGCATTCAGATTGGAAAAGAAGTAAACCTATCTCTATTTGCAGATGACCTGATTTTGTATATAAAAAAATCTTAAGAAATTAATAAAAAGTATTAGAACTAATAAATGAGCTCACAGTTGCAGGATAGAAGATCAGTTTACAAAAATCAATTGTACTTGTATACACACAAGCAATGAACAATACAAAAATGAAATTAAGAAAACAACTCCATTTTAATTGCATCAAAAAAAAAACCCTTAGGAGTAAACTTGATAAAAGAAGTGCAAAATGTGTGCACTGAGAAGTATGAAAAATGAAATAAACACCTAAATAAATAAAGATATGTTTAGAAGACTTAATATTGTTAAGATGGCAATACTCCTCAAATTCATCTGTATGTTCTTTGCGATCCCTACTGAAATTCTAGCTGTCTTTATGATAGAAATTGACATGTTAATTGTAACAGTCATATAAAAATCAAAGGGACTTGGCATAGCCAAAACAATCTTGAAAAAGGAAAAAGTTAGAAGACTTACATTTTCTAATTTCAAAATTTACTGCAAAACTACAGGAATCAAGACAGTGTGGTACTAGCTTAAGGACAGATATATAGATCAATGGAATAGAATTGCGAGTCCAAAAATAATTCCTCACATTGGTGGTAATTGATTTTCGACGAGGGTGCCAAGACAATTCATGGGGAAAGAATAGTCTTTACAACAAATGGTGCTGGGACAACTGAATATCCACATGTAAGGTATTAAAGTTGGAACAAAACATTCCCAACACCAATATATGAGCATCCCAATCAGTCCAAACCCTCTCCAACACTTGTTATTGTTTGTCTTTTTTATTTTTGCCATCCTAGTGGATCAATTGTTATCCCATTGTGGTTTTGATTTGCATTTCTCTGATGACTAATGATGTTGAGCATCTTTTCATAATGTGTGATGATCAAATCAGGATAATCAGCATATTCATCATTATAAAATGTAATCATTCTTTGTGTGCACACATTGTGTACAGATATTGATATTCAACTCCATACCCCACAAATATGTATAATCAGTTATGTTTCAATAAAAAAAATTTTTTTACAAAAGTTAACTTAAAATTGATTATAGAGCTTAACCAAGAGTTAAAACTATGAAACTCTTAGAAGAAACAGAGGTAAATCTTTGTGTACTTAGATTAGTTATTTGTTCCTTAGATATAACACCAAAAGCTCAAATGATGAAAGAAAAGTAGATAAATTGGGCTTTATCAATGAACATACAGATCAATTTGAGGAGTATTGCCATCTTAATAATATTAAGTCTTCTAAACATATCTTTCTATTTATTTAGGTGTTTATTTAATTTTTCATATTTCTCAGTGCACACATTTTGCACTTCTTTTATTAAGTTTATTCCTAAGGTTTTTTTGATGCTATTATAAATGGAGTTGTTTCAATCTTGATGAAGCCTAATTTATCTATTTTTCTTTCATCGTTTGAGCTTTTGGTATCATATCTAAGAAACAGAAAGAATCACAATAATACATTGAACTTTCAGAAGGAGAGAACAGAACTGTGGATACGAGACATGGGAAAGGAAGAAGGGAAGTTCAATTTAATTATTGTGATTTTTTCTTTCTCTTTCTCTCTCTTTCTTATTTATTTATTTATTTATTAGCTGCCACTTATGAGTGAGGACATGTGGTATTTCCCTTTCTGTGCCTGGCTTATTTTACTTAACATAATTTTCTCCAAGCTCATCCATGCTGCTGCAAAAGGCAGAATTTCATTCTTTTTATGGCTAAGTAGTATTCCATTAAGTTACTTTTTTGTATATGTGTGAGGTGGTAGACAAAATTGAAAACATCTGTGCATCAAAGGACACTGTGAAGAATGTGAAAAGGCATCCCACAAAATGGAAGAAAATGTTTGTAAATCATATATCTGATAAAGATCTTATATCCAGAATATATGAAGAATTCTTACAGCTCAACAATACTGTGACAACCCAGTGGAAAAATAGCAAAGGACTTGAACAGACATTTTTCCAATGAAGACATACGAATGGTCAATAAGCATGTGAAAAGATGTTCAACTTCGTTAGTCATCAGAGAAATGCAAATCAACACCACAGTGGGATAACAATTGATCCACTAAGATGGCAAAAATAAAAAAGGCAAACAATAACAAGTGTTGGAGAGGATTTGGACCGATTGGTATGCTCATATATTGCTGTTGGGAATGTAAAATGGTGCAGCCACTTTGGAAAACACTTTGGCCGTCCCTCAAAAAGATAAACTTATACATGGCTTTTCATAGCAGCATTATTCATAGTAGCAAAAAACTGGAAACAATGAGATATCAAGTGATGAATGGATAAGCAAAATGTGGTATATGCGTACAGTGGAATATTCGGAAATAAAAAGGAATGAAGTACAGATGCATGCTATAAGGTGGATTAACCTTTTAAACATTATGTTAAGCACAAGAAGGTACATGGAAAAGGCCACATATTATGTGATTCCATTTATACAAAATGCCCAAAATAGGCAAATTTATAGAGATATAAAGATTAATAGTTACTTACAGATGGGGAGTAAATAGGAGTGATTTGGATGTGACTGCTAATGGATGTGGAGTTTCTTTTAGGGAGAATGAAAATGTTCTAAAATTAGATTGTGGTGATGTTTATACAATACTGTGAATATACTGAAAACATTGAATTGTGCACTTTAAATGGGTGAGCTATTCAATATGCAAATTATATCTCAAGAAAGCTGTTGTCAAAAAAATCAATATAGAATATTTTTTGTTTCTTTGAAGCACGTTAACTTTCATTTCTCCCAAAGAAGAAACAATTGTTTGTTTTCACACCAAATTAGCATTTTCAGATTCCTCTACTGATGTTACTGGATTAAAATTTTTTTTTCTTTTTAAAAATGTTTTATTTCTACATTTCCCTATTTTCTATTATTGCTTTGACATTCTCTGCACTGAAGGAGGCAATATGTTGACTTTACACTTATATTTCTTGTATTTTCTGCCTATGTTATTATCATGGTCTTATCCAGATATCCTTTTGTCCCCAACTTGTGTTTAACACTGTTAGCAGTGTACTCTGATTATGGGATAATACCTCTCAGTATGCTAGAAGTGGTTATAAGAGGGTACTTTAAAAAGTTTGTGGAAAAATAGAATTAAAAGATAATACGAATCTTTCCATGAACTTTTTGAAGTACCTTCGTATATGCAGTATGTATATATTTGAACTATTTGGAGGCTGACCAAATGTCTTAACTGTCTTGTAGATTTTACTTTCCTCGCTGGTATTGCAGTGGCAGCAACAGAACCTATCGACATGGGATATCTCGAGGTGCTGAAGCTCCTCTTCTTGATGATTTTGTCATGTCTTATCTTTTTGCTCAGGTAAGATTATATTATCTTACTTGTACCTGTGTTAAATGATAAATATTTTGCTGTGTAGTATATCTCTTAATCACAAAATATTTCATATATGGGAAAATTCCAATTGTGTTTTGCACAGCAGGTACAGAGCAACAACAAAATTGAGTCTTTTTATCACTAATTTTTAATCCCATGGTTTATGGATGATAGAATCTATTTCATAAAGATTCCTTGAATTGACCCTTTTGAATTTTCTTTTTTTTAATTTTAGGGATTTCTGTCATTTCAATGATTTCACAAGGTATAGACTGAGTTTTTACAACATGATTTATGAAGAAATAGTGGCTGAAATATGAGTCTAAAATTTCCTTAGAATTTTTTTTTTTTAAATTCCTGGACACTTTCAGACTTAAATAGTGGGTTGTGAAATGTAAAGAACGTAGATAACATAAAAAGTGATCTACAATAGTTTGTATAGCTCCTCATAGGAGGGAAGTTGGATGTTGATATTTAGCCTGAGAGCTGTATACTAGTTATTTGTCTTTAATACAGTTATGTTAAATTTTTTAGTGTGTTTGAACATTTTATAATGCTTTCTTGTCTATTACCTTGTTATAAACAGTAATTGGAATGTTTTGTTATTAAATTACTTTTTTTTTTTCATGTGCTGCTGGGCTAGTATGAATAGTAACTAAAGAAAGGAGATTAGTGCCCTTGGGTAAAGATATGCTCTTGGTATCCCTACTGTATTAGATTAAGGAGTTCTAAATCAAATTTGCTAATATTGTAGGAAATAACCACATAGATCCTCATGGCTCGCATTTCCAAGAAAACTTGTAGGGCTAGTTCAGTTTATGAGCAACAAATTGAAAAGTATTTCTCTATTGGGATATGAGACCAGCCAACATTTTTTTTATTGTGGTAAGGAATTCATAATAAAATTAACCATTTTAACTATTTTTAAGTGTACAGTTTAGTTGCATTAATTAAATACATTCACATTGTTGTACAACCTTTGCCACCATCCACCTCCACAACATTTTTCATCTTCCCAAACTGAAACTTCATACCTGTTCAACCTTCTCCCTCTGGCCATTGGCAGTCATCATTCTTCTTACTCTCTGAATTTGCCTGTTCTACGTACCTGATACAAATGGCATTACACAGTATTAGTCTTTTTTTACTGGCTTATTTCACTTAGCATAATGCCTTCAAGGTTCACCTGTGTTGTAGCATGTATTAGAATTTTATTCCTTTTTAAGGCTGAGCAATATTCCATTGTATGTGTATACTACATTTTGTTTATCCATCTGTTAACGGACACTTGGATTGCTGCTGCTATGAACATGGATATAAAAATATTTCTTTGAGTCTCTGCTTTCAGTTCTTTTGGATATAACCTAGAAGTGGAATTACTGGATCATATCATAATTCTCTTATTTTTTTGCCATACTCTTTTCCATAGCAGCTGTTCTATTCATTCCTATAAACAGTATGCAAGTATTCCAATTTCTCCACGTTCTTGACAACACTTTTTTTTTTTTTTTTTGATAGTAGGCATTCTAATGAGTGTGAAGTGGTATCTCATTGCGGTTTTTTTTTTTTTTTTTTCGTGTCCGGCAACGGACCGCAACCCTCAGTGTCGCGCCCATACCAGACTGGGACCGGCAACGGGATCGCAACCTTCGGTGCTGCGCCCGCCCCTCGCTCAGCCAGAGCGGGAACCGGTCTGTATGTGGGATCCGAACCCTCGGCGGAAGCGCCACCGCACTCCCAAGTGGCGCACTGTAGCAGTGCGCCACCGGGCCGGCCCTCATTGCAGTTTTGATATGCATTTTCCTCATGATTAGTGATGTTGAGCGTCTTTTTATATGCTTATTGATATGTATATCTTTTTTTGAGAAAGGTCCATTGAAGTCCTTTGCCCATTCTTTAATCAGGTTGTTTGTTTTCCTGTTGTGTTGTAGGAGTTTTTTATGTGTCCTTATAAGATATATGATTCGTACATATTTTCTGCCGTTCTGTAGGTTGCCTTTCCCCTCTGTTCCCTGTGTCCTTTGATGGACAAAAGTTTTAAATTTTTGTGCATTCAGTTTATCTACTTTTTCTTTTGTTGCCTGTGCTTTTGGTGTCATATCCAACAAATCATTGCCAAATCCAGTGCTATGAAGCTTTCTCTCTACATTTTCTTCTAAAAGTTTTATAGTTTTAGCCCTTATGTTTAGATCTTTAATTGATTTAGAGTTAATTTTTTTATATGGTGTAAAGTAAGGGTCCATCTTCATCCTTTTGCATGTGGATATTTCATTTTCCCAACACTATTTGTTGAAAGACTGTGCTTTCTCCAATGAATGGTCTGGCCACCCTTGTTGAAAATTATTTGACCACCATCCTACTTTTATATAACTTCCTTAGTCTGTTTAGCCATTAAAAGAGAGAGAGAGAGAGAGAGAGAGAGAGAGAGAGAAAGAGAGAGAGACAGGATTCTAAGAATAGGCTACTATGAGGTTATGACTTTCTGTTGTCTTTATAACTGCATTATTTCACCTGTGCTGCAGAGCTGGTTTATTTTGGTGGCATGCTAGTTAAATTCCTTTAATAAGGCATGTTTTCCTAAACTATTTTTTCAGCTACTTTAGCCTGATATAATACCATGATGTCTAATACTTTTGATCTAGAAAAATATTGGGTGATTTCAGAATTTACAATTTTGTCTTTCTTGGAGAGATTGTCTTGTCTAGGATGGCAAAATAATTTCACAACAGAATTCTGACATTGCCACATGCAATTTTCTATTTCTTAACGTTACTTCTCTTAATCTGTGCCTAACAAATAAATAAGATAGTATTTAACTTACTCTAAGATTATACTGATATTAGTTTATACTATATGCATGTCACAGACTACATGTAGAAAATTTGACCAGTGGCATTACTGGAGTGTAATATGTAAATAACTAAAAAATAGGTAAGTCACAGAATTGCTTTTAAAGTGGTAAATTGACTTTAAAATACATAAAACAGGTGCCTGTGGAAAGACAGATTTGGAAAAGGTGAGCAAATAAAAGCCAAGAGTGAGATGCCCCTTTTAAATTCAGTTTCCTTTGGGGATTAATTGTCTTTATGTCAGCAAATATGGCTCCTCAGCAAATAAATAAACTGCTGACATATGAACAACTTTAAATTAATTTATATCTATTCAACAAAGAATGGATATTTACTTCATTTCTTTGATTTGTTTCAGATATTGTGACCATGACTGTTTTCTTATTTCTCTAGCGAATGCAGGTGTAAATTTCCTAGTTCAAATGTTGCCAGCTACCCAGATAAATTAAAAAAAAAAAAACTTCTCTATAGTTTTAATTAAATGAAATTTTGGGGGGCACATACTGTGATGTTTAAGGAATTCTAGTTAAAACTATTTAAAATAATATGTTTTGGCATTTGGGACTCTCTTATTTGTAACTTTAATGAGTATTTGGGGATAAATGTTTTTAGTACTGCTCTCAGTGATTTTTCATATATTTATTATCTTTTTGTCATGAGTTCCATAGAATCCCATCATAAGTAGAATTTATTATCTACTGGAACAAAAAGCAAGCTTATTACAAAGAGTCTACATAGTCATCAGTTGTCTGTATCTCTTACTTAAACAACATAACTTTCTTGCTCATTTTCAAAAGTGTGGCAAAATGTCTCCAAAATTGAGCAAAAAGAAATCTAACTCTTTCCTGGAATTAATTTTGTATTTCCAATATTTAGACCTTTGTTTTGGTTAATACTGATTATTTCATGGTTTGTGCTTTTTAAGTGTTATAATTTTTTTTTTTTTTTTTTTTTTTGGTGGCTCGTCAGTATGAGGACCCAAATATTTTCTTAGAATAAAATATTTTCTATGTTTTATTAATAGAAAGTTAAGCAAATATACTATTAAATATATATTTATTTATTTTAGTAAAATTATTATTTTATTTTATTTTATTTTTCCCTTTTTGTCTTTTTTTTTTTCGTGACCGGCAACGGATCGCAACCCTCAGTGTCGCGCCCATACCGGACCGGGACCGGCAACGGGATCGCAACCCTCGGTGTTGCGCCCGCACCTCGCTCAGCCAGTGAGCAGCCGGTCTATATGTGGGATCCGAACCCTCAGCGGGAGCGCCGCCGCGCTCCCAAGCAGCGCACTGTAGCAGTGCGCCACCGAGCCGGCCCTAAAATTATTTTTTAAAAGTACCTGTAAAACTTTAATTTCATGAGATAAGTTATCACATCAAAAGAAGGGAGATACATACATAAAATATAGAAGAATACCTTGTATTTCTCATTCCCAGTTTAAAGTCTTGGTTAAATATTGGTATTTTAGATAATATGACTCTTTTTTTCTCACAGAGAAAATTGCTGTTATGTTTGGAATGTTCATCTTTTGCCTTCTATCCTTTCCTTTCTCCCATTACATGTTTAATCTAATTTTATTCATATCCATAAATCATCTAGGTCAAATTCTTGGAAATTCTGTTTTTGTCTTTTCTGCATTCCTTATATATAGTTAATAAAGTTACGTTTTTAAAGACTGTATTCTGTTTCCTGTAATTAGCTCACATTCAAGCCATACAGCAGCCTCCTACAGAGTCTGCCTGAATACACCTTACTTGCTTTGAGCACTTCTACTATTGATACTACTCTGTCAGTGGAAGAGGCACAATGATACCGATGCTTTAAGAAAATGGATCTCTATTGCTTATAGGATCAAGTCATTCATGGGTACCTGCAGTCTGACCCTAACTTACTTTTCCAAGTTTTAATTCACACTATTCCTTTACTCAAACTGTCTGCCCCAAGCAAGCTAGTTTACATCTCTGAACATTCCTTGTGCTTTTGTGTCTTTCCTTCTATTTCCTTACCCTGTTTTATGTCCATCAAAAATTTCTTGATCTTTAAAGACTACATGAAGTTTCATATCTTCCATGAAACCTTCCTTGATTACTCCAACTAGATATAATCTCAACTTTCTCTAAGCTCCTGAAGCAGCTGTTATGTGGCACTTCCTAAACAGTATTTGGCATTATAATTATTTACTTGTTTAACTTCCAAGCTAGATTTTAGTCTCCCTGATGGCTGAGATCACATCTTGTATTTCTTTGTATCCAGCACTATCTGTAGTATAAGGCTTTCAACATAATTAGAACTAAGTACAACTTTAATGAAGTAATGTTCATTTTAATTTAGATGATGTTTATGTAGAAGATATAATTTGAAGATATGTGCAGTGAAATAAGCTGTTGTCATATGTATTGTATATTTGGGAACCCAATTTAAATCACTTTCCATTTGCAAATGAACTTTTACTAAAATTTTGTGGCAAAATGATTGAAAATCAAATGCATATGTTCTAGAAATTACATTATAGGTTAAAATAGGAGGGGGTTTTCAAAAAGTTTATGGAAGTACTCATATTATCTTATTACTGCATTTTTCCACAAGCTTTTTGAAGATTAAAGTGGATTAAAATGTGATAGTGAGGGCCGGCCCCATGGCTCACTCAGGAGAGTGCAGCTACTCATATTATCTTATTACTGCATTTTTCCACAAGCTTTTTGAAGATTAAAGTGGATTAAAACGTGATAGTGAGGGCCGGCCCCATGGCTCACTCAGGAAAGTGCAGCTCTGGTAGCGCCGAGGCTGTGGGTTCGGATCCTATGTAGGGATGGCCGGTGCGCTCACTGGCTGAGCGTGGTGCAGACCACACTGTGCCAAGGGTTGCGATCCCCTTACCGGTCAAAATAATAATAATAATAATGTGATAGTAAAACTTGATGAAATACTTCCTCCTAAATTTTTGTTTCCTTTAGTGGCGGCATGATTTTGTGAATGGATGGGTAAAAATACCTGTGACTCATGAAACACAGGAAGAATGTCTTGGGATGGCAGTGTTAGATATGATGAGAATAGCCAAAGAAAAGGATCAAACTCCACTGGCCATCTATAACTCTATCAGGTAATCTCCTTCTACAAATTCATATACGTAAATGTGAACAGTTAGAGATTTCATATAATTTACTTACATTTTCTGTGTTTGCTCATATATTTTGGTTTTATAGTAGTAAAAAATCATGAGTAAATTTTCTTTCTTGTGTCTAACACAAACTGTGTGATGAAATTATTAGAAGAGTTGTAGTACTACAGAAAATATCATAGGTGTTTAATATCTATTTATTATTTGATTCATTCATGTTGAAAAGGCTAGGTAAGTTCAGCAGAATGGAAAGAATACCTGGAGGTATTTGATAGTAAACATCCTCAAATTGTCTGTATAAATGATCTGAATTGGTATTTCTCAAATGGTGGTCTTTATTTTACTTGCATTAGAATCACCTGATGTGCCCATTAAACTCGAAGATTCCAGGTCCCTAACCTAATAGATCTGAAGTCTGTAAATCTGAGGTGAAGCCCACAAATGAGTTTCTATAGGTGCTCCAGAGGATTCTTATATAAGTGACCCAAACTTTGCATTCTCCAAATTATCCTTTGCATATTGAATTTTGACAATCATGATTAATACAGTTTTTTGAAATACTACTTCTGCAGCCCAGCTTTAATAGCTGTAAAACTTCTACTTTTTTTTCAAGGTATATATAACTATATAAGAATGTTTTGATTTCTTTTTTTAAGTTTGAAGGCTAAATAGGTATTTAACATATTATGTATTTATCAGATTAAAAGTTTGGGGATATCATGAATATGGTTTAAACTCCCTTTCTTTTTTGAAATTTTTCTCCCAGTAAGCGGCTTTGGTCACTTCTTTTCTGAGTGCCCTCAAAACAATTACATACCCACTTTACAGAATATCAATTTCTATGTTTCCATCTTTGGTTTTAAGCATTCCTGTTTTGTTTTCAGATGTCTGTTAGGCCTTAGGGCATAGGCCATAGGGTATGATTTTAGGAATTCACTCAAGAATTTAGAACATTCCAAAGTCCAAAGGAAAAACAAATAATTCTGGTTTCCATTAAGGCCTTGATTTTTAATAAAATGCAGACAGATACCCCTTAGATGTTAGCTTGCTTACTTATTGATTCATTCAACAGCTATGTATTGAATATGTCAGGCCATGGTAGAACAGAGTTGGAGGACGAGTATGTTAGGTGTTGTTAATAGAAACTAAAGGAATTGAAGGAAACATAATTGAAGAACTGAAGATGAGTGTCATAAATATGAAGCCATCTCTAGGTTTGTGCTATGGTTGAGTATTTCTGCTTTGGAGACCATGATCTTGCCCAAAGTATTGGCACAATATTTCTATGTAGATTGTGGTTCCTTTGAGGTCAGGAATGATGTCATCTATTATTCTTCTCCATACACTATTTAATTTAGTGTCCTAAACCCCACGAATGCTTAGTTATTGTATTTCTCTCATTCTCTTAACCAGGATATAAATATATATCTTCAAAATTCTACGTCATTCTTTTTCTTTGCTCTACTTTTTAAATTTTGTAGATATTAAACAGTCATTATAAGATTCCATGATATTTTAAAACAGCATTTTGAGATATAATTCACATACCATAAAGTTCACCCATTTAAAGTGTACAATTGAACGTTTTTTAGTGTATTCACAGGGTTGTATAAAGATGATCACAATCTAATTTTAGAACATTTTTGTCCTTCCTGAAAGAAACCCCATAGCCATTAGCATTTAGTCCTCATCCCTGCTTCCCCAGCCATCTGGAAACAATTAATCTACTTTTTGTTTCTGTGGATTTGCCTGTCCTAAACATTTCATATAAATGGAATCATACAATATATGGTGGCATTTTCTGTCTAACTTCTTTCACTTAGCATAATGTTTTCAAGGTTCATCCATGTTGTAGCATGTATCAGTACTTCATTCCTTTTTATTGTTGAATCATATTCCATTGTATGGATATTCCACATTTTGCTTATCTGTTCACCACTTGATATGAATTTGAGTTGTTTCTGCTTTTTTTACTGTTATGAATAATCCTTCTGTGAACAGTTGCATATGAGTTATTTTGTGGATATATATTTTCATTTCTCCTGTGTATACATTTAGGAGTAAACTTCCTGGGTCACATGGTAACTCTTTGCTTTAACTTTTTGAGAAACTGCCAAACTTTTCCAAAACACCTGTGGCATTTTATTTCCCATTAGCAGTACATGAGAGTTCCAACTTTTCCAGCACTTGTTATTGTCTGTCTTGTTTTACCTATCCTAGTAGTTAGAAGTATATATCATTCTAGTTTTGATTTTCATTTCCCTAATGATTACTGATGTTTAGTATCTTTTTATGTGCTTATTGGCCATTTGTATGTCTTCAGAGAAATGTCTGTTCAAATTCTTTGCCCATTTTAATTGAGTTATTTGTCCTTTTATTATTGAGTTGTAAGAGTTCTTTTTATATTCTGGATACAAGTTTTTAGATACAAGTTATCATATATATGATTTGCAAATATTTTCTCTCATTCTGTGGGTTGATTTTTTACTCTCTTGAAGGTATCATTTGCAGCACAAAGTTTTAATTTTGAGTAGTTTAATTTGCCTTCTTTTCTTTTGTCTCATTGTGGAGATGTGGTTTTAGCAATGAGGAAGTCTTTATTTTAGCAAGAGCATTTTCTCTTTGTATGATGAAACAGAAGCCACATTGAGTGAGTTGAGGAGTCAGTGGAAGGCAAAAAAAATGGAAATGGCTATATAAACTCTTTCAAAAAAGAGGCCAGATAGGCTGTGGCTAGAGGGAAATGGGGGATAAAGAGATTTTAAGTTTTAGATGAGAAGAATATTAGTATTTTGAAAACTTGTGGATAGAAGTGAAATAATATATACAGTAAAAGTCCTGAAAAGGGTGATGTGTACTAGGGGAAAGTAGAAGGTATAGGTAAATCCATGTTAAAGGAATGGCTTTAGCTAGCAGGTTTATACCTCATTTATTGTAATAGGTGAGAAGGAAGAGAAGGAGGACAGAATGAACACAAATGTACATAGGTTTGGTAGCAGAATTCTGCTTAGGGAAGTTTTTTTTCCTTAAGAAGGAGATGAAGGCATTTAAGTGAGGAGGAATGTAGCTAAAGTTTGAGGCAGAAGAAAGATAGGAAATCTGAAGAAACTGGAGAAAGTTTGAAATAGTTGTGGAACTTGGGAAAATTAGTTAAACAGAGAAATGTCATAAAAGTGATTGCAGTGATATGGCCTATTGAAATTGATGACATTGAATTTATGATGCAACCCATCCACCCTGTAAAATGGCTTTCTCTAGCAGCTCTGGCTACTCGAGTACAAAACAGAGTTCCTCAAGAGGTTTAAGTAGAGTAGGGAAGGGAAGAAGCAGAGGTATCCTGGTAAATGTTTAACAACCAGTTCTTCAAAAACAAAAAAGAAAGAAAGAAAGTTCTGATTTGTAATCTTTGCTATTACTCATGCTATAAATACTCCCTCCATGGCCAATTTCAAGGTATCAGCCTGATGTCGTTGAATGCGGAATTGAGGGATAAGCAATAGCAAACCCTTTTCACTATTCACATGTGATAGATGTAAATAACCTCAAAGGCATAGATAGTAGTATGTAAAACAAAATAGGGCCGGCCCAGTGGCGCACTGGAGAGTGCGCCGCTTGGGAGCGCGGCGGCGCTCCCGCCGAGGGTTCGGATCCCATGTGGAGACCGGTTGCCGCTCACTGGCTGAGCGCGGTGCGGGCACGACACTGAGGGTTGTGATCCCATTGCCGGTCCCCGGTACGGGCACGACACCAAGGGTTGCGATCCCGTTACCAGTCAGTAAAAAAAGACAAAAAGGAAAAAAATAAAACAAAATAAAAAATAAAACAAAATAAAAAATGTAAAATAATTAGGATATTATGAGTTTTGAGTATTTATTACCTATATTTATTATATAATTTATTTAGTTGTAAGTTTATGTAACTTAAATTTTAATGATGGCTGTTTAGCAATCAGCTCAAAAAAATTCTTAAAATATAAAAATATATTCTCAGCCCAAGCCAGTTCCAGAATACTACTGGCGGTAAATAAACAAGTACAGGATGGTATAGTAAGTGATATTATGCAGAAGTGGACAGAATACTATGAGAACAAAGGGAGGAACATCTAATGAAATCACAGAATGAGGTCAAAAAAGGTTTCCTGGATTTGATGATGCTTGAGCTGAGACTTAGAGAATGAGTAAGAGCTGTCGGGTCCGCCACAGGCTGACCCGAACAGCCCTTGCCTTGCTATCAGTCCCTCCCTTGGTGTCCCTTATGGTGGGCGGGCAGATTGCCCAGATTCCTCTTTCCCCGGTCCCCATTGGGAGGAGACAGAGGAAGAGAGCCGTGAAGAGAGGTGAGCACAGCCGCCTGCCCCAACCAGCCCGTTAAAGAACACTCAGACATGGCGGGGGTTCTGTCAAGCAGTTCCGTTTAATACCACACAAGCACTTGTTTTTATAAGCATATGGCAAAGGGGGGTGGTGAAGGGGATTTCCTATCTGTAGCCTATCATTTTAAAGGTTAAGCGATCATGCGCCTGGATCCAGTGCTTTGCTGTAGCTATCACGCAGTGAGCACGAGCGCGGAAGTGCATCCGGGCCAATAAGGGCTATGGCAAAGTTCCCGCGGACACTCCCACCTTACTTCCTCCCGGTGCCATCTTAGGCTGCCACGTTAATACACCCTTGTGGGCCCATAATAGCGCCGCTTGTAATGTCACTTAAGGTGGCGTTAGTTTTTAAGGCCCGACAAAGAGCTAATTAGATAGGAGATGGATGACAGAAAGAAAGATTAGCATGTGTGAAGGCATGGAAATTTTGTATAGTTGTTGTTCAGAAATAAAATGTTCTTTAGAAGGAAAGAAATTATCTACCTTCTTTAGGGTATTGTACATAGAGATGAAAGTACATAAGAGTCAGAACATTTCCAAATGGAATTGTTTTGATCACAAAGGAATTATTAGAAGTTATTGAAGCCAGACTAAACAATGTATACAACAGAAGTATGTTTGCATAATGAACAACAGCATCCAGCAAAATGTAACAATTTCCAGAGTTCAGATAAATTTTGGAGTACAGCATTTAGGAAATATGTGCAGCACTGTGCGATAAGTGCCAAAAAATTGTTGTATAAACCATTATCTCTGGAAATGAATCTTTGGTGACTTCATTATTAATTAGACTGATCATTTATTTCATTAGAGGCAGAAAATAAACATCTATTCTAAACATTTATGGTAACTCAGACAGAATGTGTGTATTAGTCCATTTTTGTTGCTTATAACAAAATACTTGAAACTGGGTGATTTATAAAGAAAATGAAATTTATTGCTTACAGTTTCTGAGGCTGAGAAGCCCAGAGTCCATCTGGTGGTGGCAGTAGTGACCCAGGAGTCTCACACTGTAGAAAATGGTAGAGAAGAGAGAGAGAAAAACAGGCTCTCCTCTTTTAAAGCCCTCAGAACCACACCCTGACCACCATTTCTTTTTTTTTTTTTTTTTTTTGTGACTGGTGAGGGGATCGCAACCCTTGGCTTGGTGTCGCCCGCACCGTGCTCAGCCAGTGAGCGCACCGGCCATCCCTATATAGGATCCGTACCCTCGGCGGGAGTGCCGCTGCACTCCCAGCACCACACCCTCCCGAGTGAGCCACGGGGTCAGCCCAACCATTTCTTCATTTCTTTTTTTTTTTTTTTTGTCTTTTTTGTGACTGGTGAGGGGATCGCAACCCTTGGCGGGGTGTCGCCCGCACCGCGCTCAGCCATGCGCCATGGGGCCGGCCCTAGCCCAACCATTTCTTCATTTCTTTTTTTTTTTTTTTGTCTTTTTTGTGACCGGTAAGGGGATCGCAACCCTTGGTGTGGTGTCGCCCGCACCGCGCTCAGCCATGCGCCATGGGGCCGGCCCTAGCCCAACCATTTCTAATCCATTCATTACGGACGGGACGGTCCTATCACTTCTTCATGGCTCCACCTTTCAATTACCATAATAGGATTTCCCATCCTCTTAACAGTCATGGTGGGGGCTACATTTCTAATACATAAAACTTGGGGACATGATTCAAGCTTCAGTGAGTTTTGGGGGGACATAATTCAATCTACTACAATGTGTATATGTATTCATATCATTAAATGAAATGAAACCTGTGGTTTTATACTCAGTGGATGGTGGTTATGTCAATTTAAACTGCTTGTCTACTGTGTTGTAGCACTATCATGGAAAAAGATGGTAACCTCTCTTTCAATTTTATTTTAGATTTATCTTACAGTCTTTTTTTTTTTTTTTCTGTGTATGTGCTCTTTATCCCTAGCTACAAGACATTCTTACCAAAATGTGTTCGAGCAAAGATCCAAGACTATCATATTTTGACAAGGAAGCGAATAAGGTACAGATTTCGCAAATTTATTCAGCAATTCAGCCAATGCAAAGCCACTGCCAGAAACTTGAAACTTAAATATCTTATAAATCTGGAAACTCTTCAGTCTGCCTTCTACACAGAGCAATTTGAAGTAAAAGAGCCTGGAAGAGGTCCTTCAGGTGAGGAGATTTTTGCAACCATTATAATAACTGGAAACGGTGGAATTCAGTGGTCAAGAGGGAAACATAAAGAAAGTGAGACACTGACAGAACAGGTAATCCTTAATGATATGTTCTCATTCTTTGTTATTTTAAGTAGAATGGCAACAGAAGCAAAGTAATTTTAGTCATTTGAAACATGACCTTACACTTTTCCCATTGATAGAAGTGAAAGTTTTTAATAGTGTGAAGCCATCAAAGTCATATCAATAGTTCTTTCTCACTGTTCTTTAGTAAATTTTTGTTTAATTTTTTATGACAAAATTATTAGTTATGACTTTATTATAATTTAAAGAAAGCGTTAAATTCCAAAAGTAATTTTAAAGATAGTTTTGCCTCTTTTTCTTTCATAATTATTGATAAAAGGAGCCACAATCATAAAACTAATAAAAAGAAAAGATTAATTTTAACTGAGTTTATGATAATGTATACCTGCTAAATAATAATTTAGGTTTTTAAGATTTGCATTGCAAGTTTTTAATTTGTTTATATCTGTGTTGTTCTTAGATTGTTATTAGAGATTTAGTAGAATGATTTGATTTTTATTTTTTATTTTCTTTTGTAGTTAAATTTGCAATTTTCTGGGAATGGTTCCTAATAATGTTAATTGGATTTAAGAGTACTATAGCACACTTTAGATTCCTGAAATCCACTAATGCTTTCATTTTTAAGTCAAAGAAAGATACAGTATAGCCTTAGGGTTAGATTTTCTGAGAGACAGAATTACATTTAATGCTTATCTATTATTATCAATATCTTTTTTATTTTAAAGAATTTGGAATGAATGTTGTTTTCTTAATAAGTCTTGTTTTAAAATGGTTCCATAAATTCTACCTGTTTTTAATTTCAAATGTTCTTAATTACAGGATTTACAGTTATATTGTGATTTTCCTAATATTATTGACGTCAGTATTAAGCAAGCAAACCAAGAAGGCTCAAATGAAAGCAGAGTTGTAACTATCCATAAGCAAGATGGTAAAAATCTGGTAAGTTTGATTTATGACTAAATAATGGTTACATTTTATAGTTGTCAGAGATAAGTATTTAGAATCTTAGTTATTTTCTTGTAGTAATTTAATTATACAGAAGCTTTAAGTATAGCTCTAAACATAAACATCAGTAAACTTTTTGATTGCATTTAGCCTTTTGTATTACTACCAACACTATCTTCCCACAGAGTTTCTTGTATATTGCTTTATTTTTCACTCATTTTTATGGTTAACAAAGTACTGGTTACTCCCTCAACCCCACCCCCAAATCTGGGTTGTGCTAGTTCCCTAACTCATTCCCGACTACAATTTTTTTATCAATAGGGCTGTGTATAATGCCAGTCATACTGCATCATTAAAGAAGAAAAATAAATCAAAACAAAGCTATTCAAAAATTATATAACAAAATGTAAATCAGTCCCAGGTCAGCCCCACCCAAGCTGTAAGACATAGTTGATTCTAAAATATTAACCCTTTCTCTTTCTTTAAATAGCTTCAAAGATCTCATTTATTTTAGTCTAAGGGAAGAAGTGAATTCTTTTATATTCTGCTGTTAAATTTCTTATTTATCTGGTGTTGGGAAAATAGAATAGTTTGGTCAGGGCCCTCGCCTCAGGTCCAGTTTTGTGTGGTTCAGCAATCTTTGTAAGCAAATTGTGTGTGCGCGTGTGTGTGTGTGTGTGTGTGTGTGTGTGTGTGTGTGTGTGTGTGTGTGTGGAGTTAGTGCGCGTGCTCGCCAATGTATCTTTTTAGTTTTGTTGCTATTCTTTTGTTCTCTCATCTAGAGATGAGAGAGAGAGAGAGAGGAGTTTTAGTGAAGCAGGCAAGTGGGTGTCAGCCTCGGACATCCACCCTGTGTAGCCATGCTTTCCAACCCATGGCTCCAAGGACCTTTTGGCTGGTTATCTAGCTCATAGACCTGCGTGAAGGGGTCTGGTGATCCAGCCTGGCGGGTGTGGTGTTGGGGACTCAGCCTGGCATGTGAAGGGTTTGTGACCCAGTCTGTAAATGGGTTTGAGGGGTCTGTGGGCTCCAGACCCAGCCTTAGCTTGACAATTGGCCCAGTCGGTGCAGGATTACCAGCAAGTAAAAGAGCCCGACAACTAGCATGGTTACCTAGCTTTACAATTGGTGTCACAAACAGGATTAAGAGCTAGACATTTGGCGCTCCGAGGATTCCAGGCCTTAGCCTAGCCAGACGAATTGGCGATTTCGACAGTATTAAAGACATTAACCTTAGCCTGAACATCACATCTGGCTCTATTTTCTTTTTAACTTGGATGCTTTTTGACCTCCTGGCTTAAACTTCATATTCATGTTATTTGTTTATTTATCTTAAGTGTCCGTATGGCTTACCTGTTTGGCCATTTCAGGGTTATTTTACCATAATTTATAACTGACTTGCAACTCACTTTATTCAGCACACTTTTCTGTTTTTAGATAAAAATATGATTTAGTGTACACCTAATCCCTAGTAGACTGAGCTTGGAGGTAAGGATCATATTTTCATGTATGTTTGTAACCTCTGCACCTTGCTCAGTGCTCCAGGGCCTAGTTTAGGAAGAGCTTGATAAGGATTTCATGAATGGATGAAAGGATGATTAATAATTACTAGCCCCAGTATGGATCTATAATAAATGTTTCTGAAAGAGTTTTTGATGCTAATGTGAACACCCTGTAGTAACCTAAAGAATTTCTTTACGGGAAGGTATTTGGACTTGTTGGCTTAATTTTAAGTTTGCAATGCAGAGAAGTTAAGTATCTTTCCAAGGTCACAGTGTTGATTAAGTAGTAGAGCTATTTAAACCTAAACTCTGAACTGCAATACTATATTCTTTATTGAGGATTCTTAAAGCTCCTTGAAAATACTACTTGACATTTTGTTGGAATTGCTCTAAAGATTAATTTTGGAAGAGTTGACATTTCTTTCCCACATTACATTTTCTATTTAGGGGCTACATTATATTTCTCCTTGTATGCAAGAATTGTTTTATGTTTTTTCAGTAATTTTTGATAGTTTTATTCAGATAGATACATCATGGTTCTTGCTCAATCTTATTTATGATATATCATGCTTTGCTGTTATTTATTAGGATTAAGAACTTTTTCTCAGTATATTTTTCTAACATTATTGCTGGATATAAGGAAGTAATTAATTTTTTCTCATTATTGTATTTTCCCAATCTATTATATGTTACACATTTTTTTTACAATCATCTTTCTTTTTACTCTGGCATTTTTACTGTCTTTTAAAAAGTTTTTTGATAAAATATATATAATATAAAATTTCGCATTTTAACCATTTTTAAGTGTACAGTTTAGTAGTGTTAACTATGTTCACATTGTTGTGTATTCAATTTCCAGAAGTTTTTTATTTTGCAAAACTGAAACTATATCCATTAAACAACTCCCAATTTCCCCACCTCCATTGCTCTGATGAGTAGCGATATTAAACATTTTCTTATATACTTATTGTTCATCTGGATATTCTCCTTATAAAGTGCTGTGCAAGTCTTTTGCACATTTTTCATTGACTTGTCTTTTTCCTATCAATTTTAAAGTATAGATTCTAGATACAAGTTTATTGTGGGATATCTGTATCTTCTCACTTTTTTAATGATGTTTTTTGATGAATAAAAATTCTTAATTTTAATGGAGTGAGTGGAGCAATTAGTTTATATTTAATGTAACTACTGATACAGTTAAGTTTAAGTACACCATTTTGCTATTTGGCTTGTGATTGTACTGTATATATATATATATTTTGTTTCTTTATTTATCTTTATCTGCCATCTTTTGATTAACCAAATATTTTTTATTCCATTTTATCTTCACTATTAAGATTTTTCATATACCTTTTATATAACTAGAGATTACAGTATGCATCATTGACTTTAGCTTCTTTCTTAAACGGGGCAAGAAGCTTAAAACATTTTAATTCCATTTATCCCCTTCTCACCTCTTGTGCTATTTTTGGCATATATTTTATTTCTATATCATAAACCCCACAGACTTAGTTATTGTTGCTTTAATGTAAAAAGTCAATATTATTTTATATTTAGTCACATATGTCTCTTTCCATTGCCCTCTGGTGTGAGAATGGGTAGATTTTACTTTTCCTTTTAACCAAGATTCATTTGGTCACACTCCCATCTTCAGAGGTAACCATCTGTGTGTATATTCTTCTAGGCCTTATATATTTGTACATATATCAATATGTAGTATACATATGTGTGTTTGCATGTATATACACACATACACTTTCATGTATGTTTTATTTACATAAATGGGGTCATACTTTATGTACAATTCTTTAACTTGCTTTTTTTCTTGACATCTTATTGATCATTCTATGTAGCAGTAGATCTAATTTTTTAAAAACTATTACATATCATTCCATATTGTGTATGTACTTTAATTTATAATTTACTTAACAATCACTCTTCTTCTGATAGACATTTAATTCCTGTCATTTTTTGTCATTACACAAAATGCTACAAGTATATATCTTTGTGCATGCCTTTTTATATACATATGTCAATATATTACTAGGAGAGATACCAATAAGTGAATTTGCTAGACCAAAAGGTATGAATATTTAGAACTTTGATAAGGACTGTTAAGTTGCCTTCCAAATGTATTTTCAATGTGTGTATATACCCGTTTCCCTGTCTCCTTTGCTAACACTGGATATTATTAATATTTTAATTTTTCTGCCAAATATATGGGCAAAAAAATGCTGTCCTGTTGTTATACTGCATTCCCTAATTAGAACCTGAGATTGAAAAATTTCTCATGTGTTTATAGGCCAGCTGTTTATATTTCTTCTTTTGTAGATTGCCGTTTCATATCCTTTGACTAGTTTTCTTTTTTCTTTTGAATTGATTCGTAGGTTTTTCCCCCAAATATATATTGAATGTTAATTCTTTGTTGTACAGGTTTGTAATTCTTCAAGCCTTTTAACTCTGTTTATGATGTATTTTATAGGACCTACTTTGTGGCATAATTGTGTTACCTACATACCTTTTATAGTTTGAATATACCATACACTTCTCTCCTTCTTATACTTTTCGATATAAATCCCTATTCTATGTTCTCACTATGATTATGTAAATTTTGTTCATTGCTGAGCCAAGAAATATGCTGTGATCACATTTCCATTCTTGTACAATTTTTTATTTTTCCAGGTGTTAATTATTGCTTCATTTTTTCCCTTTTGTATATATATATATATATATATATATAGCTGTCTTCTTATTCCCTACCAAGAACTCTGTAAAGTAGCACAATTCCCAATGTAGTATTTCACATAGACAAATTTGTCAAATATTATATCATTTCTATTTCTTTCCTGAAGTACTTTCTTGATCACTGGGTTTTACTGTCTAGTCTGGACTGGAAGCTCTGTAGGTACAGCTTCCAGTCCAATTATTATGCACATTTGTAATCCTTGGGCATCCCTTCTTATCATCTTGGGAATTATCTTTCATCCTTGGAATCTCATATTTGCCTTGTTTTTTTGAGTATATCTTCTAGTACCTACTGGTATTTTTATTGTGACAAATTAGAAAATTAATTTAGGGAGGATTTTGACATCTTTATGGTGTTGAATTTTCCTCTAAGAACATAGTTAATTTCTATATATTCAAATAAAAAGTTGCATCTTAGAAGAATATTTTGAAGTTTTTCTGATAATGATTTTGCACATCTTTTAAGTTTAATACTAGATATTGCATTGTTTTGTTGTTATAAATGGGGCTTTCTTTTTTTAATTATATAATCTAATTGACTGTTTTTTATATATGTAAATATTAATATTTTTATATGTTTTCTCTTTAAGTAGCATGTTGCAGTTTAGGCTGATTATATGTTCACATATGTATTTGAGATGATACAATCATAGTATAGCTATATATCCTAACATTTTAGTTTATTTTTCATGTTCGACTACTGAAATGTAATCATCAGAAAAGATTGAATTTTCTCTAGATCATGCA